AAAGAACCCCTTGCCTTGAAACTTGTGAGAGATCTCTTCAAAAAACATAGTTATCATGGCCATAGTTATCATGGCCATGCCAGCTCTGTGGTCGGATCAGTTAGACTGCTAATTAGTATTTTGGTTAGTTTGGTTCGGAATAAAAATTAGATTTGGTAAAAAATGGTCGGATCAGTTGGACTGCCAATTAACGTTTTGGTTAATTTGGTTCGGAATAAAAATCATATTTGATAAAAAATGGTCAAAATATTGATTTTGACTGTTTGACATGTCAAACCAACCAGTTTCAACCAGTCAAACAAAATAAAGTGAACAGTTTTTTATAATAATTTATATATTTAAATTTTTTTTAAAACTTAATCAAACTAATTCAATATGCAGCCAAATCAATTCTAATTGAACCAGATCTTGAGTACCTAACCCAATATTAATAAGAGATGGAACCTTGCCTACGTTTAGCTACGCAAGAAGAAAATGTGGGGCCAAAGATGAGAGTATTTGTTATGTAGCGAGTCCCATAGCACGAGGGGCGATTAATTTACTGCCTTGTTTTTGGAGAGAGGGACCACGGGCTTTGACATTTGAATATAAAAAGAGAGGGAAGAGGCTCAATGATTGAAATATGAGCCAAGAGGACAGCTTATCGCCTGGGGCAGGCAGCCCAAACACAACACACTTTAAGCTAACTGATAATTACCTCTTTTATTTCTTTCTTTTTTTTTTTTCCTTTTTTTTCTTCTTTTTTCCTTTTTTTTTTTTTTTTTTTTTTGGAAGAGAGGGAACAGAAATATTCATGCACATAAGTGAGGTTTGAAATTTTGATGATTGAGATTAAAATCGCCCTATCTAGATAAAGAATCAAATAGACCGTTTTGATTACCTAATGTATCAGGGATTCAATTAGTTCCCACGAGGAACTAATATATCGAGAATTGACTGGTTCCCACGAGGAATATATCGATCTATCAAAATTGATAATTCATCGATTTTGTAGAGCGAATCTGGTTCGCTTCCGAACCAGTCAGTTCTCAAGTAAAATAAACCATATCTTATTTATTTTGATTTCAAAATTTATTTATGAAAATAATCACTAATATACCTTAATTTTAACAAAATTGGAAAAAATTCCCAAACTTTCTAAAACCTAGCCCACACCCCTTTTCCTATTTTTTGAGATTTTTTAGACAAAAATGCCTTTTACGATAGTCTTTATACCGTAAAAACATTGATAGAATTACGGTACTTCGAGTATTGTAATACTTTGAAAATATATGACGGTACTTATAGTATCATAATAGCAATAACTTCAATTAGTATTACGGTATAGTAAAACTATGGAAGCCAATTACGGTACCGTAAAACTAAAACCTATTTTACCATAGTGAAAACTAATCTATGTTATACGGTAACATTTTATCCTTATTATATTTATCTCTTCCATCTCTATATTTTTTTATGTTTCTCTTATTTTTCTCTCCCATTTTTTTAATATTGATCTATTATTTCTCTCTAATTTTTGTTGATCTCTTCTTTCTCTTTCTAAATCTTTTCTCTCCCTAACTGGGATATTTTGGCTGTGTCCAATTTGGCTCGAAGAGCAAGATTGTAGAGAGACAAAAAAGAATGAGAAATAAAGAAGAGATAAATATGAAAAAAACTTAGAGAGAAAAAAAATTGATAAACATAAAAAGAATGAGAGATGAAATAGATAAATATAAACAGAATGAGAAAATGGTTTACGGCATTTAAACACTTTTTCTATTTATCTATTCTATCTCTAATTTATTTTATATTGATATATTATTTCTATCACTGTGAAAAAATGGTTTATCGCATTTGAAATGCGGTATAACATAAAAATAGAAATAATAGATCAACCTAAAAGAAATTAGAGATGAAATTGATAAATATAAAAAGGTTTAGGCCATTTAAAATACCCTAAACCATTTTCTCATTCTCTTTATACTTATCTATTTCATCTCTAATTCTTAATAATTCTTTATCTCTCTAATTCTTTTTCATATTTATCTCTTCTAATTCTTTTTCATATTTATCTCTTCTTTCTCTCTTATTCATTTTATCTCTTATTTCTCTCTCTATAACCTTACTCTACGAGCCAATTTGGATACGGCCAAATATCCTAGGGAGATAAAATATTTAGAGAGAGAAATAAGAGATTAAAAAAATTAGAGAAAAATAAGAGACAAATATTAAATAGAATGAGAGAGAAATAAGAGACAAACATAAAAAAAATAAGGATGAAAGAGATAAATATAATAAAGAGAAAAAGTTTTACTGCATTTGAAGTGATGTATAACATGGGTTAATTTTTAGAGCAGTAAAATGAGTTTTAGTTTTAACGGTAATGCTAATTATTGAAGTTATTGCGGTATTTTAAATACCGTATAAAATGATACCTATTAAAGTATTACGGTATTCTAAGTACCGTAATATATTTTTAAAGTATTACAATAATTTTATCAATGTTTGTACGATAGAAAGAATATCGTAAATGATATTTTCATCCAACAAATAATGAAATTTGAGAAAAAATGTGTGGGTGAGGTTTTAAGAAGTTTAGAAACTTTTTTCAATTTTATTAAAATTAAAATACATTAACGATAATTGCCCTTTTATTTATTTGACCCACCACGCTAACGCATGGAGTGCCTTTACCCGTTCACGCCATAAGACACATCCGAAACTTATCTATAGCATTTTGGTCCCTTTGTTTGGCTGTCCCCGATGCAGGATAAAGTTTTTCCTTGTTTTTCAATATGACAAATACAAGTTCGATTAAATGACCCAACATTTCGCACCTTTAAATTTGTTATTATCTCTTACCTTTAAATTTGTTAAATTTGTTATTATCTCTTACCTTTAAATTTGTTATTAACCTTTAAATTTGTTATTATCTCTTACCTTTAATAATAACTTAGTTTTTTTTTTTGAGAGACATTAGATTAAGCAAAAATCAAACGCATTTTTTAACCAAATCTCAATTTACCTTAGTAAAATACTAGAACTTTGATAATTGAATTCATAATTTTTATTAAGAAAAATGGAATAGCTTTTAGAACTTAAATTAAAAGAATTGGCGCATTTAATTATAACTATTGCATATATTATTCCTAGTTTTAATGATATGTCATGCTGTATTTTAAAATTTTGGGTTTTGGCAACATCCCATGCATATTAAATGAGAACAAATCGGGGAATATATCAACATTCTTGATATTTTTGCAAAATAAAGAGGCTGATAGTTCAAGAAAAAAAATGACATCACTCAAGAAAAAGAAGGTGAAGTCGACATTTTCAAATAAATAATGAGTTATAAATTAAATATATGAAAAATATCTCGATATCCTTTATTTTTAGGTTTTATTTTACAAGACCCAATATATTAAAAGATATTTTGAAGCATAAAAATTGTAGATTTTATTTATTCTAATCCCTGTGCTACTTTAAACCTGCCTTTTTAGGTTAGACAAATTTAAAACGACATGCCTTTTCTAAAAGTCATCCTTCTAAAGTTCTATTTATCTGTTTTTGTCATCTCTAATCTCTCACTCTCTCTCCTCCCACTCAAGAAAGAGAAGAGAGAAGGGATTGGGTTTAGAAAATACGTGTATTTTTCACATTTGTTTAGGTTAAAAAATAGGTTTAAGCAGCGACAGGGTTGGAATATATTTTTTAAAACTTTGGTTTTATTAAAAAATAAAATCTAAAAATAAGGGATATGGAGATATTTTCCTTTAAATATGACACTTCTAAAGAGATAAATTAAATACGATACCTCTAGAGAGATAAAAATTTAATAAAAATATAAATAATTAATTTAATAAATTAATTTTTAAGAAAAGAAAAAAAATAAAAAATAAAAAATAAAAAATAAAAAATTAACAAGCAAGACCCCCTATCTTTACCATCCTAAAATACAAGAGTAAAAAAGTATAAGTTATAGTGTATTTTAAAATACAATTTTACTATGAATGTAATGGTCAACAAATACCTAGACATGAAACACTCAGTCATTATTTATGTCTTTTTGGTAAAATAATCAAAATTAATAATGCAATACCCTTATTTTTTAAAAAAAAATTGAAAAATTGGACTTTCAATAAATTTTAATATTTTTTTGAATTTGTTTGAAACCAAACTCAACTGATCCGATTGATTTTCTGATCCAAATTGTTAATCCAATTTGATTTTATAGATAAACGATCCAGGTCACCAATCCATTTTTCATAACTTACCTAAAACCTTGCAAACAACATTTACCCCGTTTTAGGGAGTGACGGCAGGTCAATGACAGTTAACCCCCCATTTGAGAGAGAGAGCTGGTCAAGCGCATCACAATTACCACATTTCAGAGCTCCAAATATAGAGAGAGAGAGAGCGATCTTCTAGAAGCCATAATAATACTATAATCTCATTATCACTATAAACAACGAGATGTAGATTGCAATAAAAACTAAAAAAATACCATCGGGCTCTCCTTGATTGTTTACGGTATTGGAAAAAACAAATCTTCCCGTACGATCTATCTAGGAAACCGGTTCGGATTAGTGGATCGACTATTTAGATCAGCAATCGAGCCAAGTGAATTGATCAATAAAAAATAAAGAATATAAAAAAAATTCGGATGGATTAGTTTTCGACAAAACTGGCTGATTCTTTCAAATAACCGACATGTTTTATAAAAGAACGAGATAAATTTGATACTTATCGCAATCGAACTTGTCCAAAGATAGGATATAATTACGTAAAGAGAGAAGCGGAGGAGAGGGAAGGGGTCAAGAATGGTAAAGACAAAAATTCGAGAAAGATAGGGTAAAAAATATCACAATTTATGAACCGTTATCGTTTTCAGTAAAAGAGAGAGCGCGCGCAAATAAACCTAAAAAAAAGGGCTCTCAACCAGAGGTAGGGACGGGGCTGGTTGCTTTGAAAAACAACTTGTAAAAACGGTCGTCAATAATCGACAAGGCAAAAATGTGTTGTCACGTTTTAAGAGAGAGAAAATGTTTTTCTCTTTGGATAAAGTTTTTCTGTAATTTAGGAGGAAAGAAAATCTTTCCGCAACGCAACGCAACGCAACGCATACTCCTCAAAAAGCGCTGAGGAAGAGAGATTATGTGTTTTCATTTGGATAAAGTTTTAGATAGTCTTTCGTTTTAGAGAGTGGATAAAGATTTATCAAATTTTGTTCAGAGAAAATGTGCTTCATTTTTGGATAAAAATATTTGAAAAGCTTATAAATAATAAACCAGCCCCACCGAACGTGCCCTTTTACCCTTTCTTTCTCTCTCTCTCTCTCAAATTTGGCGTCTCTTTTTCAACTCCTTTTCATTTTCTCTTTCTCCACTCCTCTTCCTTGTTATTTAACCAGACATATTCTATTCCAATCTCCGTTTTTCCATGTTTGTGTTTTCAAGGCGTCTAAGGTTTTGCAGAGATATTAGGTCCTTTTTCATTCGGTTTTTTCTTTGTTCTTGGTTTTGGGGCTTTTTAGGATTTTCTGTTATAGAGCATTTGCAAATCTTCACCCATGGCCGAAGCTTTAGGGGGGTGTCTTAGGATTCACGGCTCCACCCCAAATCGGTTGAAGGATACAAACCATTACAGGCTTCCTCTGCGGAGGTCTCTGAGTTTTTCTTCGTTTAAAACCGAGTTCTCTGGGCGTTCTTTGGACATCTCTTATCAGGCAGTTTCGGAGCGATGGGTTTTCAAAAACCCTGCAAAAAACTTCACCATTCAGGTCTTTAATGGCTTCCTTCTCTCCAATGTTTCATTCTCTGTAGACTTTTGAAGAAAGAAGTCCCAATTTTTGCTTTGCTTTGCTTTGCTTTGCTTTGCTTTGGTGTTTGTTATGCATTGACCTGTTTTTTTACAATCCATTTGCAGGCTCAGGCATCGTTTTGTGTGAGCAAAGCTCTGAGATGGTGGGAAAAGAGCCTGAAACCAAACATGGCAGAGATCAACTCAACTCAAGAGCTCGTTGATTATCTGCAAAATGCAGGAAATAAGCTTGTCATCTTAGATTTCTACTCTCCTAGTTGCGGAGGTTGCAGAGCGCTTCACCCCAAGGTAACCCATTTCTCTGGTTCCAGCTAGGAAAGATCTCAACTTGGGGCAAAATGATTCCAAGTTTGGAGTTTTAATGGGATCGAGAATTGCGATGCGTATTCGATCCATTGGGTTCAGAACTGAATTGGGGTTTTTTTGTTTTCCTTGTTTAATGCTTGTCCAGATCTGTCAATTTGCTGAGATGAACCCTGATATGTTGTTCTTTCAAGTGAACTATGAAGAGCATAAAGCGATGTGTTATAGCTTGAACATCCACGTCCTCCCATTCTTCCGATTTTACAGAGGAGCTCATGGCCGTCTCTGTAGTTTTAGCTGCACAAATGCAACTGTAAGAGTTATTTCCTCTTCTCTTTTCCTATCTTTTCTCCTTTCTGGTTTTCCTGGTTAGTGAAGTCAGTTTCTATGATTGTGAATTTTGCTGAAAGAAAAATATCTGATTTCCAAAAATTTACCGGCGAAGAATAGAAGCAAATTGCAACACCGACTTTTTCTTTTCTGTACTTTCCAAAAGAGAAGATTTTACTTTCTTTCTTCATTGTTTTGTCGGTCATTCCGGTTCCTTGGGTTTTTTCCCTTATTGTCCTTGTTACTTTCATTGGCCAAGAAATATAAGCAAATGTAAAACCCAATTTCTGTTTTCTTTGCTTTCCAAAAGAAATATCATTCTTCTCTCTTTCATACTTTGTTGGTTATACCTATTTTGTTCTTCTTTTTGTTAGTCTTTATTGCTCTTCAATTTGTGATGGCTAACTTTGACAAAGGCAAAATCTTTTATTCACTTGTGTTGTTGCAGAAAAGATCCAGAGATTTTTCTCTTCTTCATTATTTTTTATCAGTTGGGTTCTTCAAGCATCAAATCCGCATGATTTTTCTCCATCTGTTTTAATGTCTCCATCTCCATCTGTTTTAGTGTCTCCATCTCCTCTTTGTAAATCCCTGCTAAATTTGTTAAAGGCAAAATCTTCCAAACACTTGTGTTGTTCGAGGAAAGATGAGAGCTTTTTTCCTTTATGCGTCCTTGCATTCAGCTTGCTCAAGTGTCAAATCCCCATGTTTTTTCTTTTTCTCTGTTTATTTTCCCTTCAAATCCAGATGGTTTTTTTTAATCTGTTGTCTAGGTATTAAGCCCAGCCCACATGATTTTTCTTCATCTGTTTTTCTATTTCTATTTCCTCCTCATGAATCTCTCTATTTTAATTTGCTGGTATTTTTTATGAAACAGATAAAGAAATTCAAGGATGCATTGGCTAAGCATGGCACTGATCGATCTAGCTTAGGTCCAGCAAAAGGTTTGGAAGATTCAGAACTCTTAAGCTTGGCTTCGAACAAATCCCTCTCTTTTACTCCATCCATTTCCATTACAAGTGGCCGAGAAATCGAATTGCCTGTGAAACTATTGGATAATTCCATTGTTTCAGAGGCCATTGAAGGAGGAGATCCTGCTTTTGCTAGCTTTACTTCTCAAAAGTAGCCTGAATTCTATTTTTAGCCTTCTTGTCGAATATTTTCCCTTTTTTTTGGTGTAAATATATCTGGGCTGGTTAAGAAAACTGTCCAAAAGGCAAAAAAGCAGGCTTAGGTTTTTAGATTAAAGCCTGCCTATTTGGTAGAAGATTGTAAGTGCTTATTTTCTTGCTGATTTCTATCTAGTTTTTTTTTTTTCGTGAATATTTCTATGTAGTTAATTCTCTTTGTAGACTTTTAATTTTTCCTTTTCTTTCGTTTAGTTTGTTTTTGCAAAATTAGGTAATACTTCTCCTTCTCTTGTCAAAAACAGGGTGTTCTATCCTTCAATATATTGTATTGGAGTTTTTAGAGTAGTAGTGAGAAAATTGGTGGAGTATTGATTATTTTCTTTTTGGTGAATGCAATGGATTCTTACTTTGTCAAAAGTGACATGAAGTTACCTCGTTCGTTGTCTTTCTTCGATTGTAAGAAAAAGAAAAAGATGTGTTCCTAATAGGACAATGCTAAATTTCCAAGAAATTATTAGTGTAGTAGACATTAATTTGAATTTTGAAGTTAAAAATTCAAATTCACTGGTTAAAGCCAGCCGGATGGGAGGATAAAGTGGGAAGAAAAACAGGGATTGGACTTTAGAGAGGGCGGTTTTTCCAACATTAGCTGGTGGTGGGTGTGGGGCCTAATATGCACTGGAATCAGGACGCCCAAAAAGCCTGAAATCAAAGACGAAGACCATCACCCTCTCTTCTCTCTCTTCTTTGCCGATATTGTTTGAATTTTTAGAAGAGGAATCATTGAAGTCAAACGGTCCATGCCCTTTTACTGGGGCCCACCATCTTCCTTGATGTGGTCGTTTTCCTCCGAGTCACTCGGCTCCTTTGATATATATATTTTTTTGGGTTTCCACTTTGAAATTTGGATCTCATTCCGAATTTTTAAGTTTGGGAAGAAGTTCTTATAAGGCTTAAGCTTTTTGAAAACAAAATAAAGTCTCGCCTCAAATTTGTAATATAAATCGGCTTTAAAATCAAATCAATTTCCTCCGATCAATAAAATCCTAAAACTCAAAAAATGATATAGATCTTGCGAACATTTATGCTTAAGGAAAAGTGCAAGGTTTAGATAATTTATTATAATGAAATCTTTTTTTTTTTTATAACCATAATGTTCAAATCACCGATTTTGTGTCCAAGCTCTTACCGAAATTCACAGAAATTTTAAACGAGATTTCGCCTACCAGCTCCATGTTTATCCGACGGACATGGGGCTCACCTCAGCTATTGGCAAGTGGGTCGTCATCCACATTCAAACGATCACAACGCACCACGTGTTATTTGGATTGACGGAAAACGGGGGAGTCTACGTGGCCACCATTTTAAAAGCGAGTGAGTGTTGAGCATTCTTTTTCATTTTCTGCGTGGCGGTGGCGCCAAGGCCGGTCCAGTCATATCTCGACTAGGTGATGTGGCAATGTCAGATGCACAGATTCGATGAGAACCGGTGACGTGGATGTCTGTACGTACGCTCCCTCTGGCATGCTTAGTGTTTCGAAACGATCGCCATTTTGGTTGTAGATAGATGGGAATCGGTGGGGGTCGATTAGGTTTCGATATGGTATTGGCTTTAGGATGGTTTTCCTCTTATATATTTTTTTTTTTTAAAAAAAAAATTTATCTAATCGTTTTTAAGTTCCCAATCTAAATCCCCACCCCTTTAAACCCATGTTTTAATTTTATTTTATTATATTTATTTTTTAATATTTTATTGATCACCTCTTCTGACTGATACACACCCGATGGGAATAACTAATCTATCAACCCCACACAGGCATGTGTATGAAATATATGTTCCACCGATCCAGGTTTTGAATTACTAGGCTTAATAATCTAAACTCCTGTTTTAAAACCTAGTTAGTAAGTAGCCGATCCCAATTAGTTGGGAAAAGACCGTGATGATGGTGATAGTGACGTATTTAAACCCGGATCAATTGCTACTTCGAGTGATCGCCATCTAGGAAGAATCGAATTGAGTCTCCAATATGTGAATTAGTTCAAAAAATAATGAATTGATAGAAATTTTTAAAAATAAAAGTAACAACTAATAGAAAGTGAAATGAGAGGGAAAGTGAAATGAGTTGGTTCCTGGATCTTGGAAAGAATTAGCTTGGGTCGATTTTTAAATCACTAATTAAAACTTGCAGGGTTCCTCACCAAGTTAATTAAAAGTTATTTGGATGTTTATTTTATGGTTAATGCTCGAAAGCATATTTAATAATTATGAGTTATTAATCAAATTTGCAATTTTGGATCTTTTAACATGTCATATGGGATTTTGTCGCAGTTTTAAAACTCTATCAAGCTTTATGCTATTATTCGTTTCAAACAAGAAATAAATGACCATTTACAAAGGTCCAATTAGGAAAAAAAAACTACTTCCATGTACTTCGGATCCTAAAGGCCACGCTAGATTAGACGTCCATTTATTTGTAATTTTGTATGAAAGTAACTTATTAGATGCCCAAATGTATTTCAAAATCAATTATCCGTGACATATTGCCTTCTTCTTTTAGGTGAACAAATCAATGTTCACCAACTAAGCTTCTCAAAAGGTTTCCAAGTGAACGGTTTAACACCTCGGTTTGTCCATTGGTTTGGGGTGCTATCATTTACCACCTCAAAAATTTCATAGGTTGTTTTGATGCTCAAAGATCCTCAAATTGATCACATCGACATCAAGATGCATGGACATGAGAAAAACAATGAATTTTAAGTTTCGGAAATAGTGTATTTTGTAACCATTTTTGGACTGTCAATTTTCAAGATTTTCAAATTTTCATAGATCTATCGATCTGCACTATTTTTTAAGCTTTAAACTTTATAAATAAAGATGCAAATATATTTTAAGGCTATCACAAATATTTTCAGTGTTGAAATTATATTTTTCGACACTATTTGAAGGTAGGCTCTAATTTGAAATTACATTTGAAGGAAGGCTCTAATTTGATTGTTTCAGTATTTTGAAGGCAGACTCTAATTTGATACATTTGAAGGTAGGCTCTAATTTGAACTGTAATTTTAAAGGTAGGCTCTAATTTGAAATGTAATTTTAAAGGTAGGCTCTAATTTGATTTTACATTTGATGGTAGGCTCTAATTTGAAATTACATTTCAGTTTTTTTATCACTATTTTAAGGTAGGCTCTAATTTCAAAATTTGAAATTACATTTTTCGACACTATACGAAGGTGGGCTCTAATTTGATTGTTTAGAATTAGACAATATTTTCAGTATTGAAATCACAAGTTCCACGGTAGGAATCGATCTTGAGATGAGTGCGAAAGGCCATTATATGCTTACTTATGAAAATGGAAAAGCATTTTAAAACCTATGAG